AGATGGCCTGCCCTGATAAGAGATAAAATGCACATTATCTTCTTCTGCACTGACTCTGGATGATTAACTGGATGCAGTGGTGCTGAGAAGGGGTGCTGGAAGGCTTACTCCTCCGTGTGCCACCTTCCTTTGTGGCATTTGAGGAGCAGAGAAGATGTTTCAATTTCACACAACTGATTTGTGCTGCATTTTTTTCTCTCTCTTCCTTCACGAGGCCTCTATTTTTCTTTTCTTTTTTTTTTTTTTCTTCTCTCCCACGTGTTTTATTTTTGGGTTTACATTGTTTTCTCTTTTTTTTTTTTTTTTTTTCCCCTTTGAAAGATGAATGTCTTGTAAAAATACCGTGTTTACTATTGCTTTATAATTAGGTTAAGTCTCTCCGTGTGCTCTCGGAGCGGGTGCTGGTGGCTGGAGGATGTGAAGGAGGATGTGCTGTCACGCCGAGAGCAGAAACCATTGTTTTCTTACTGATAGCAAGAAAAAAAAAAATGAATTGAAGCCTATTTCAGGCTTTGTCTTTTCAATCTCCCACCAGCTGGTAGAAACTGGTTAGGTCTCAATGACTGTAATTACTGACATATACTGTCCAAGAGTTTATTCTTTTAGTTTTTCAGAGTTTATGATTTAAATTTAACAATTGGAAAAATTAGAGGCAGATTTTGTCTGCAAGTGTTTTGAATGCTTAGGCCTGTGGTAGTGAAACAGAGCACGGGGAAAAAAACACCTCTGGTGTTAAATGTAAATACAAAGAAAGTATATACTTACCTGAGATGTCCTGTTGTTGGTACAGGTCATCTGTTGGAGCCTAAAATTAGTTCTTTAGGTATTTTTAGTAATAACAGTTCCGCTTCTCTTAATTATCTCCTTCCTCGTATGAAAATGCTACCGTGAGTGTGTTTATCTTTCCATTGCCCCGTTGCTCCTCATTGATGCCCAGTGGAATTGAAACCTGAGGGGTGTCTTCTGATGCCAGCAGTAGAAGTTCAGCCCTTAGTTACCGTTGTAGGGGTTTTTGTGTAGGACAAATGGAAAAAGCCTTAATAAATATTGAGAAGGAAAATGTGCTGCCACCACTGAAGGCAAAATGCTAATCCGTAGCGGGATGGTATGTTTGTATTTTGGAGTGTGATACAACTCCCAAACAACTTACACAATGAAAAAAGGGAGTGCCTGGTCTTGCATGACACTTCATTCTCCAAGACACATATTCAATCAAATTCAGCTTTGCAGGACGTTTTCTTTCACATAAGAACCAGTTTAGTTCACTGTCTGACATGTCATGATGCTATTATTTCATCTGTCTCCATGTCTCCTCAGCACAGTGATTGCTGCTGCCTTTGTTTTTACTAATCATCTGTCTCCGTCTCTCCTCAGCGCAGTGATTGCTGCTGCCTTTGTTTTTACTAATTCACAATTTGGTTAATCCTTTTCCTGTTCTATACCACACTAAATAAGCTTTACCCTCTTCTCCCTGATTTTTGATTCAGAGGACATATGGTAGAGCTAATATTGCTTTTCCATTCCTTCAAAAGCACTAAATGAACCAAACTGTTCAATTTCTTTATCTTTCTTCTTTCTGGAAATTCCTGCAGGGATGTAGAAAAAGATCAGAGGAGGAGGATGAATGCTGCTTTCTAATCTAAGCCAGTTCCCTGCAGGGGAGGTTTATTGGAGTAAAACTTTGAGCCTCTGACTTGTCATTCTGCTCGCAGTGGCTTCAGTTTTGAATTGTTATGTTTCCTGGAAAAATTCAGACTTCGAGTTTGAGAGTTTTAATTTTTTAGTCTGGGAAGCTATTTGTGTAGTTCAGGAGGCTGAGAATATTTAGAAAAACTTTAAAAGTTCCTAAATGAACTCTATAAGAAGTTCCATCTAAACATGAGGAGGAACTTCTTTCCTGTGAGGGTGGCAGAGCCCTGGCAGAGGCTGCCCAGAGAGGTGGTGGAGTCTCCTTCTCTGGAGACATTCAAACCCACCTGGACACGTTCCTGTGGGACCTGCTCTGGGTGGACCTGCTCTGACAGGGGGTTGGAGGGGATGATCTCCAGCCTTCCAACCCCACATCATTCTGTGATTCTGTGAAATGATCTTGTTTAAAAATATTAATTTATTTAATGTTATGGTTTTTGTGTGTGTTATAAGACTATTACTAATAATGAATAACCAAGAGATTTGGAGATGGCTAAATTAATGTGTCTGGAGGGAGTTAGGGCTGAACTAGAAACCACTGTAGGCAATTCAGTTGCTCCTGACCCACCCGCATTTGTATGTCTGAAATTCATCTATCAATTCAATCTGAATTCATGAGGTTTTCCCTTTTTCACTTGAAGGTTTCCAAAGTGCCTGCTCTTCGGTACTACATGTGCACAGAAGTGATTTCTTCTGAAAAATGTGGTTTCAGTTCCTTGCTTGTGCTGTAGAGGTGTACCTAGACCCTCCAGAGATGTTCATCTAGTGGCGTGCATAGATCTTGAATGTGAATTAGCTCATGTGAAAAAAATGAATCACAGAATCACACGGAATCATGGAATCTTCTAGGTTGGAAGGGACCTTAAAGATCATCTTGTCCAACGGTCAACCTAACTTTGACAAAAATAGACACCCACACAACAAACAAAAAGCGACACCATCACTAAGCCATACCTCCCAGCACTACATCAACCCGCCTTTTGAACACCTCCAGGGATGGTGCCTCAACCACCTCCCTGGGCAGCCCATTCCAATGGCTGATAAACCTTTCGGTGAACAAATTTTTCCTAATTTCTGTTTTCTTTTTAAAAGCCATGAGGAAACCAGGAGGGTGCTCACCTCTTTGACTCTGCTTGACTTGTTACTTGTTGAGTTGTGTATGAGAAATAGATGTGGATTTGCTCTCCTGCTCCTCAGCCTGAGGGATTCAAACCTCAGTCCCTTGTGTTTGAACTACTTACCCATGAGTTTGGACTGTATGGGCTACACACCTAAAGATTCCTATTGTACTGCAAGCATTAATTAACCTTGTCCTCTTTGCTTCCTAAACATCCAGTTTTGGCAAGTGGGTATCCTATTACCTAGGAGATGTCCTGCCTGTTGAAAAATACAGGCTGTCATCTCTGTGAAGAGGGAACTTAACTTCCATTGCCCAGTTTCTGGCTGGTTATGTTGGTGTGTGGTTTTAGGGAAGAGCAGGGCAGCGGATTATCTGTCCACAGCTGCTAAAAGGTGATTCCTTTAGATGTCATTCACTGTGAGGGTGGTGGGACCCTGGAAGAGGTTGCCCAGAGAAGCTGTGGCTGCCCCATCCCTGGAGGGGTTCAAGGCCAGGCTGGATGGGGCTTGGAGCAACCTGGTCTGGTGGGAGGTGTCCCTGCCCAGGGCAGGGGGTTGGAACTGGATCATCTTGAAGGTCCCTTCCAACCCAAACCATTCTATGATTCTATCTATAGACATAATTGATAAAAAGATAATCCAGGTATTTTTCACGTCCAATCTGATGCCATGGAGGTCAAAGATCAGTTGGGAGATACTTGTTTCAGGGATGATCTAATGTGAGGCTTGATGAGTATCTCAAAAAAGGAAATGACTCCACTTTCTCCTCAAACTGGTTAAAAAGAAAATATTTTTCAGAAAAATGTTAGATGGTATTCAGTGCTGAATCTGAGAAGACTCCAAGTTTTCATTTGTTTGCTAATGTTTCAGTAAGTCGCCTTTCTCAGTATCCCTGCAGAACCACCTGGATCCCAGTCTCCAGGCTGTTTCTGCCCATTATCTCCATTCACTCAGTTCATTGGGAAAAGTCAGATTTCCAGCGTGAACGTCATTCGCCACCACAAGCTCTGGCTGCTGGATTTTATCCAGTGTCAAAAAGAAAAGGAGAAGGGGGTCGTGGTTTTAACCCCCAGCAGTTCCCTCGTTGGGTTCAATGCATGGCTGACTTGGCCAGCAGAGGGGAGGGAACTGGTGGGGTGGGAATGAAGGACTTGGAGGAGGTGGTAGACCCCCTTTTTTTGTTACCTGCTCTCCGTTTTATGCCGGTGTGAAGTGATCATGGAATTGTGGCCTCCAGCTCTTACTTTAGCATGAGATGAATCACCTCCTGGAGACATTTCCCTCCCTCATGGCCCTGCTGTTTATTTTTTGGGCTGATCCCAAACAATACAGGAGCTCCCTGAAAGGTCTGGCGGCATCTCCTTGCCATGACCCTTACAAAACTGGTAACAGCTGGGCCTGCCCTGTGTTGCGTGAGCTTTTTGATCATTTCCATCAGCTCCCTGTGCCCTTTGTAGTAGTGTTTTCTGCCTCTAGAATATTGCTATTTATTGAGGAGATCTCATCTGGGGAGGGTGAGTTTCGGGTGCTCAGGACACCAGAAGCGGGGCAGGATTTCCACGGGCTCTTTAATGCCCAGATTATAATAAACTAGTGTTGTTTTAACACTGTCGCTCGACAAGTTATTTTCCTTCCGAGGCAGATTAAATGTACAAAATATTTATCATTTCCTCAGTGATCCCTAGTGCTGACAGATGTTGTGTTTCTGCGATACTCTACATCGTCTCCTGGTTCTTAACTCAAGCTGCATGTGCTGCCTTTTCGTGCATCTGGGGTGCATGTTTCATGTCATGTATTTCAATTCTGGCGTGGTTTTGCTTGTTGTGTGGCACTATGGCTTTTCCCTTAGTCTTTCCTCATTCAACCTTGCAAAATTGCCATGATAATTTAGCAGGCACAAAACGTACTTCTCCATTCTGGAGATGTTCTTACTGAACTGGTAGCAGTCAAAGAGGTGATAACGTTTTACTTTGCCCATCACACGTTTTCCTCTGAAAGAGTTGTATGTGTAGCATTTTGTGGGGTCATAAACGTGGTATTTTTATTGGTACCTTTCGAACAATCTCGGTTTCAAATGGTGTATTTGCCAAGTAAAAACTGAGTTGAGCGTGGAATGAGAAAGTTGAGAGATGTGAAGGAAGAACTCGTGACTTTTCCACCCTAACCCTTTCTTGCCCTTTCTTCCTTTTTAGTTGCTGATATGTGTTCAAGATGAGTGGGATGGGAGAAAATACCTCTGACCCATCCAGGGCAGAGTCAAGAAAGCGCAAGGATCCCGATCAGCTTGGACCCAGGTTAGTAGAGCATTTACGTCTGAAGATGTTGAAAGAGAAAGACTTAGAGAAAAAAACATTACACGTGCACGTATTTCTCCTAATCATTAGAAAATCAATCATAGAATCATAGAATTGCCCAGGCCAGAAGGGACCTCCAAAGGTCATCTAGTCCAACCTCCCCACAGTCATCAGGGACACCCCCAACTAGACCAGGTTGCCCAGGGCCTCGCCGAGCCTCTCCTTGAATATCTCCAGGGATGGGGCCTCAACCACCTCCCTGGGCAACCTGTTCCAGTGCTCCACCACCCTCACAGTGAAGAACCCTCTCCTCATCTCCAGTCTAAAGCTGTTCCCCTCCAGCTTGAAGCCATTGCCCCTCGTCCTGTCACTGCAGGCCTTTCTAAACAGGTTCTCCCCAGCCTTCCTGTAGGCTCCCTTCAGGTACTGGAAGGCTGCTATTAGGTCTCCCCGGAGCCTCCTCTTCTCCAGGCTGAACAACCCCAGCTCCCTCAGCCTGTCCTCGTAGCAGAGGTGCTCCATCCCCCTGATCATCCTTGTGGCCCTCCTCTGGACCCGCTCCATCAGGTCCATGTCCTTCTTATATTGAGGGCTCCAGACCTGCACACAATACTCCAGGTGAGGTCTCACCAGAGCAGAGTAAAGTGGAAGAATTACCTCTCTGGACCTGCTGAGATGACAAAGTTGCCATTCTTGCATAGAGAAGTCAGTACCAATCTGCTCTGATTCAGCAATTCTGTGGTGGTGTAGGTTTGGGGATGGAGAGTGGGGAGGTATTGGGTTTTTTTTATTATTTTCTTGGTTGTTTGAAATCCAGCCTAGTGCCAAAATATACAATTTGGGTGATAATACAGGAGCTCTGTAAAAGTATTTTTTGGCTAATCACTGCAGAGAGTCTTCAGTCACTCATCTGTCAAGCTGAGAGTTTTTTACCACCTCTCTTGTACATCAGAACAAGGGATTGAGGAATATTTTGCACTGTTATAGTATTGGGTTTAACCAACACAATTTTTAAAGCATAACCACTCATTCAGCATTTTTTCCTAGAGCTGTTTTTTGTCATTTCACAAGGAGGTAGGGAGTATGGATTGTGTGGTTTAACTTTTTAAGCTCTTTTATTTTTCTATACACTGTCATTATTTGATTCTTGGATTCTCAACGTGACGAGGAAGGATACTTGTAAATGTTCAAATCCCACCTCCCCAGCAGTTAATCCTCTAGTTTGAACAAACAAAAACATGGCTACTGGAAAAAAATAAGGAATGTCTTTTTAAATGCTCCTTAGCTTGTTTCAGAGGAAACCTTTCTGCTGGTATTGGATTTAACCAACACAATTTTTAAAGCATAACCACTCATTCAGCATTTTTTCCTAGAGCTGTCTTTTGTAATTTCACAAGGAGGTAGGGAGTTGTGTGATTTAACTTTTTAAGCTCTTTTATTTTTTTATACACTGTCATTATTTGATACTGCTTGGTTTCTCAACGTGACGAGGAAGGATACTTGTAAATGTTCAAATCCCACCTCCCCAGCAGTTAATCCTCTAGTTTGAACAAACAAAAACATGGCTACTGGAAAAAAATAAGGAATGTCTTTTTAAATGCTCCTTAGCTTGTTTCAGAGGAAACCTTTCTGCTGGAGAAACTTGTAAGTTATGTTTTTTGTAGTGACAGAGGGCGGTTCTCTCTGTTTTTCTTAAACTACTCTCAAACCATTGGAAATAATCTCTGAGCTGAGCAGAAGGCAAATGAGCTTACACTAAATACATTGTTTTTATAAACTCCTCTTTCAGCCCTAAAAGAAGCACTGAAAAACGCAATCGTGAGCAAGAGAATAAATACATAGAGGAACTCGCAGAGCTGATTTTTGCAAATTTTAATGATATTGACAACTTCAACTTTAAACCTGACAAATGTGCAATCTTGAAAGAAACTGTGAAGCAAATTCGTCAGATAAAAGAACAAGGTAAGAAGACTAATTAATTGACTTGGAATGTTTTCTGTGTTGATTATGACTTTTATTTTTGGCAAAGTCTCTTCAGCTTTTCTTTAGCGCATTCCCAGGTTTTTTTAATTGGTAATGAAAAATGCTGGGATGTAAATGGAGTGTGTTAAGTATCGTGTTTGGTATTTTAAAAATAAGCTTCTCAGAAAGTTCCAAAATTGCCTAGAGAGAGGGAAAGTCGGTCAGTCCCACGTGAGCATCGAATGGAGCTGAAATCAGTTGTGTTTTTCCAAAAATCACACTAGCAAATGGCTTTCAGAGAAAATACCCTTACATGGATGATGAATCCATGTAAAATAGGAATAATTCCGGAGAGTGGGGTATGAAAGTATTCTTCATCCCCCCTTTTGCTTTCTTTTGTTGGTATGAATAGATATTGTGGACTAAATTATCTGCGTCCCTTAAATGATGACATCATATCCTCGACTACAATAGATTTGAAACTGTTCTAATCTCTAGATAGGGCTCTGTTATAAATGTAAACCAGGGAACGTGACAGTTTTCTTCCTGTTCTTTGTCCAGAAGATTAGTTTTGTATTTCTTTTTCTTTGGATATATTTCCTATTTAAAGGAAAAAAAAAAAAATCTTTTAGAAATGTTACATTTTTGGAGGTGGGTTTTGTTGGCCAGGACCATCTGGGTGGGCGTGAGTAGCACTTGCAGGTGTTTGGGGCAGATTTAAATTCTTAAAGTAGGTGCCTATCGTTTTAACGTCGAAGATTGCAATCTCTTGATAAACTTGTGTTTGCAGCGATTCCTTTGGTTTTCAAACACTCTCATTAACATCTTTCACTTTTTCTGTGGGAAAATAAGGCTTCCTTTTCCATACTGGATGTGTGAAGTTACAAAAACGGAGATTACGTGTTGCATAATTTAGATAGAGATTTATTTCTGAAAACAAGTAGATAAGTAGGTCTGCAGTTTTAGACATCAGCCTATTCAAAGCTAAAGGGAAAGTGGGAAGTGTCAAATGGTGGCAACTGCCTCCAATCTTCGGGAGTGTTCTTATTTCTCAGCTTATTCTCATCTTATTGCTATTAGGTTGCCAGAATTTTTTAAATGTATATTCTGGTGAAGTTGCCATGCCCCATATCAGAAGTATCCCCGTAACCTGGCACAGTGGCCATCCTCATTTTGCACCCTGCTGGCTTTTGAGGTTATTTTTTTCCCCTTGTTTTCTTTTCTTCTTCTTTTTCTCTTATCCTGACCCTTCCATTCTTCTTTTCCTTACCTGAGAAGGAAAAAGGACCAAAAAGATTGTGTTTTCCGGGGAAGTGGGTGCACGGAGAAAAATCGGTTAGTCCTCTTGGTAATTCTCTCAGCAGTTCTACAACTAAAAATCTGGTCTGAAAATCTGGCTCTAACTAATGGCAACTTTGGCAAATCCAGGGTTTTCTTGTTCAGGACCAATATCGTAAAAACAGGTTTCATATTGTTAAAAAATCTTCACACTCACCAGACCACATTACATGTAAATAATTTAAGCCATCATGGCCTTAAATAATTGTACAAGAGCTGCATCTGCACCTCATTTTTTAAGCTCATAAAGTCCTGTTGCAGAAACGACTGAAAATACTATTCTAAAACCAGACTAAAATGCTATGGATGCTGTTTATTTTGACAAGTAAAAGTAGTTTGCAACCCTTGAGCAATAAAGATACTAAATTACTCTCTATGATGTTGATTTGTTGCACAAGGTTCTTCAGCTGAGAACAGTTGGACCTCCTGACAACTGTGTGGGTCTTTACATAAAGCTTGTATCTGGTACAGACTAGAATTTAAACCTCTCTAAGAGGCATCGCAAAGCACTGAGACCTTCAAGGTGGTCATTAATAACATCTCAGGCTCTAGAAACAAAGATTGGAATATTTGAAATTATTCCTTTAGATCATGAAATTTATATTATACTTGCATAAAGTACCATGAGACTCAGGTTAAAAATCATATTTTCTTACAGTTAAGATGTTTTGTTGATTTTTAGTATTATACTAAATACTTGTAGGAGGAAACTAAATGAAAGTCCTGAAATTCCTGCATGATTCTACACAAACACAGACAAATTAAGATGGCTCGGTTTTTGCGCAGTGTGTCTGCTCTGTGTTTTTTCAAAGGCAGATTAGATCAAATTTGTGAAAAGTTATTTTACAGTTTTATTACTTAGAAGTTTAGAAGAAGTTTAGAAGCTTAGAAGCTTTTGGAAAAAAAACCCAAAAATTCTTCACAAATTTTCTCCATCTATAATTTAGATGAATAATAATTCATGGCAGGGGGTTGGAACTCGATGATCTTTAAGGTTCCTTCCAACTCTAACCTTTCTATGATTCTGTGATTCTAAATAGAATTGCACATTCAGGTCTAGTTACTTAGAGAAGCACAGTCAGTTATAAATACCTTGTAAAGCCACAGAAAGCAACAGGTTTTGTAGCTGCTACTGAGATTTGACAAGGAGACTTTATTCTAGGTTCAGGGAATGAAAATGAGGAAGGAAGAAATACAGATTGGTATTCATTTCCCATGTCAAGCTTGCTGGGCTGGTAGCTGAAAAAAGTAATAGATTTTTTTTTTTTCTTGCTCTAGTAATACTATGTAATTTAGTACAATGTTATCCTGATCTATTTTATATGCAAATACGTATTTGCAATACTAGATCTGTTATCTTTATATCATTTCTCACAGTATGTACTTCAAAGATTCTTTAGTTGTGGTATGTTAGAGATTCGGTTTATTACAATTTGAAAGCAAGTTATAAATATACGCCTGTAACTGAATTCATTAGAAGAATTAAAGATATTTAGAAGATGTAACCATTGTGTGCAGTTCTAAATGGGTTTTGAAATGTTTTTAGTACTTGGGAAAATGAAGACAAGTTTCTTTACAAAAGCTTAATTTTCTACTGAGGACTTTTTTACCAAATTATCTTCCAAGTGATTGGATAGAGATTTGTGGATGTCCAGAGGAGATGAAAAATGGTGAATTTAGCATGAAGATGAAACAGAAGTTGTATTCATGTAAATCTAAAGTGCATATTTCCGCTGGGGATTTGAGACTTGGGGGAAAAATTAACTCTTTTTAAAATTTATTTATTTATAGCATAAAAGTGATATGAAATGATGGGGGTTTATGGTTGTGTTACATGGTACTGGAAGTGTGAGCTTGCCTGTTACTTGCAGTCTACGTTAAGTGACTCTGAAAGAGTCATAGTTGTATATGTTGCAGATGTGTTCCTAACGCACACAGATATGTACCAGCACAGTAAGTTCCCATTTGCACGTGCTTAATTAAAAAAACCTTGTTTTAGACAAGTGTAAAGACCACTGGGGATAAATGTTCCGTTATATGCTCGGCAGCCAAGAAGCTATAAAGCTGTTTGGTTGCGCTTAAGAAAATATATTTAGTAAAATAGTGTTTGATTGATTTTAGAATCCTACCTTATTTTTAAGAAACAACTTCAGCACTTAAGACGGATGCGTTTCGGTTGTGTATGTATTCCTGGGAAGGTTTTCTCCTATCTGAAGACAGCAAAATTCTGACAGCAAGTAAAAAGAGGCTGGATTCTCTTCTTCTTTAGTTTATAATCAATTGAACTTTTTTATATCAATCTCATTTCTTTTCATACCTGTAGTATTCCTTTTCCTTGAATCTTGTCGGCTGCCTGACTCCTCTCATTCTGTTAGCGGTTTTCTGTCTCATTATTGGTTTTGGCTGCTCTGTCCTCCTTTAGCCGATTTCTTTTTTCTTTCTAGGTATTAAACAGGATATAAAAACGAAACCTTTGTCCTGAGTTTGAAGCTCTTTTTATCCATCCTGCTCAGCTCGGTCTCAGCAGGTAAACAGCTCACGTTTGAAAGCAGAGACTATTTGTTACGTTTCACTGCTTGAGCGTCTCCTGGTTCAGGCTTTGAAACCACCTTTTCTTCATTATCTGCTTGTGCTTTTACCCTCTTCTCTGGGTATCAGCGATGCAGTAGGTACGGAGAATACTGAAGATCACCTTAAGCCTCTTCAGCAGTTTCCCTCTCCAAGCAGTCTCCTCTGACCCCGTCAGTAGGAGTGCTGAAGAATCTGTCCTGACTTCAAGTACAAGACATGTTTTTTTTTATTTCTCAAGTCCCCCGAGTACCTTTTATTAAACTCCAGGTCTGTACCTCTTCTTTTTCTCCTTCTACTCTCCCTGCCTTTCTGTTTGCCCGAGCCTTTTTTGAGGATGGCATCCACCTGTCTTACTTTGCTTCACGTACGGTGAGATATCACCTGCTGGGCCAAAGTATTCCCAAATGGGATTTTGTGTCTCAGCTCTGTTTTCCTGCAGAGTCCAGCTCTTCACACATCACCAGTTTCTGAAGAGGTTTTGTGTTGTGTAGCTCAGCGTTACAGTAGCGCAGGGAAGGGGTGGTGGGGTGGTGATTATCAGCCTAGTTGTTAATGTACCTTTGGAGTTGTCAGGTCTTGTTTTCAGAGTAGCCTTAGGAGACCAAGCTTGGACAGAAGGAATCACCATGTGAAAGCTAAACAGTGTTGAAATTCAACCAGGGCAAGTGGAGGGTGCTGCACCGGGGGAGGAATAACCCCCTGCACCAGGACAGGTTGGGGGTGACCTGCTGGAGAGCAGCTCTGAGGAGAAAGACCTGGGAGTCCTGGTGGACAACAGGATGCCCATGAGCCAGCAATGGGCCTTTGTGGCCAAGAAGGCCAATGGCATCCTGGGAGGCATCAGGAAGAGTGTGAGCAGCAGGTGGAGGGAGGTCATCCTGCCCCTCTGCTCTGCCCTGGGGAGGCCCCATCTGGAGCACTGGGACCAGTTCTGGGCTCCCCAGTTCCAGAAGGACAGGGAACTGCTGGAGAGGGTACAGCAGAGGCTACAAAGATGATGAGGGGACTAGAACATCTCTGTGATGAGGAAAGGCTGAGGGACTTGGGTCTGTTTAGTCTGGAGAAGAGAAGGCTGAGGGGGGGATCTGATC